CAATATGGATACCAAGGAAAACCAGTATATTTAAACGCGAGGCAATTAAATGTGTATCTACATCCGAAAGGCATCATACATGCAAAACAAAAAAAACTGTAGCATTTTTGGTTCTTGAGAAGAAGATTTTTTTTAAACTGACAATTTGATTCTTTTTGTAGTACCTCAAGTTGTTTTTACAAATGGCGAATGATCCTTTCAAAACACTTGCCATCAAGTTCCTGTTAGTCAATTACCAATAAATAGCATTTTTTGGGGAAATATTGCATAATAAATTTGTTTCGACCAATCAAGATGCCACCACTCGATTAACATGGAAACAAAAAAATCATTACATCCACCGTTGAATTTAGTGTACCCAATTATCAACAAAATCCGAGAACATCTAAATTTCGACCAATCAAGAGCATGCATTGTGGCTTTCTATGGACTTGCTTTGAACAAACGTGAATCAACATCCCCAGGGCATCATGCCCCTGTGGCAATGTTTTAAAATCGACAAGTGTTTTCTATTTTTGCCCCTATATGGCCCTTAAACCCACAAACTGTTGGTTGCAATGGCAATGATCCTTTCAAAAAAGCATCAGACACGAACTATTCCTCAGAAGTCTACGGCAGCTGATAGCGTAGTGGGGGATTCAAAGAGTGTGAAATGGCGTCAGAGAAACAGTGGATTTAATGTAGACAGCCAATGGAGGTTGTTGTATACGAAGGTAGTCCTTCCTGCGCATAAATCATACAGTTCTTCAGCAATGATTGTAATAACTTCAGATTATGAATTAAAGTTGTTATTTTGCCTATATCAGTTCGGTTTGCAAAGCTGAAGAAACATCGTTCTAGAAATGTTAACTATCAATACAATAAAGATTAAGAGAGCGTAGGAATGTATTTAGTATTACCATCAGGTACTAGACTTGTTCAAGTTTTGAACGTTTCTCAGCTGTAAGATAACGTTACTGAAAAAAAGTGAAGACATCAAATTCATTGGGATGAAATTTCCTGTCGACTGCACAATGGATTTTTCAAACAGTCGAGAAGTTATGTGATAACCTCCGGCAGGCTGAGTCATATTAACGGAGGTTAGATAACCAGATGTGTTGCTTACAACTCGGCTAAAAATATTAAGTGAAATGTCGTTCGAAACCATTGAAATAGATGAAATATTCCGTGAATACGAACGTAATGTCTTATTTTGTGACGTTTCGAGGGTGTGTGTATATGTATGCTACATACCGTGGTAAAAACGGTGACTACACTGTCACGTAGTGAGGTACAAAATAAAAGTGAGGTACATACCTCTGTTACCTCGCTTTGTTGACCTCTCTTTATGCGTACAAAATCATGTCTAGCCACCAAAAAAACTATCGGGGCCTACCTCACTTTATCGGTGTACTCTTACACACTTTGTGCCACTATGAGGATGCTTCCTCAGAATATATGCTTTTTATTACACAAAATGAACTCCTTCCTGAAAGTCCTGGCAAAATTGTCACTGCTGACGTCTGTTTTGAAGTCCGACAAACGCATGAGAGCATTGTATCCAAAATAAGGTGACATATCCTCGCTGATTTTTTCCATTGCCGAAGCCCAAGGTAAAAATGAACTGTTCTTATGCATTGAAATCCAGCTTTTATCAATTTTACATTAACAAGAAACAAAGATAATCAAAACCTGTATTAAACTACACAAGAAATAATAATAGAATGTTAAAAATGTTGCTCTCATGATATATATTTTTTACAATAAAAGTCCATACTTGAAATTACCAGTGAGACGTTTGTCTGTGTGCGCCACGGTAGTGAATTTATTTTTAGGTTATACGATTTGTCTTTCTTTGAACATTGAATCAGTCATTGCGCGAAAATATATGGCAGCTATTGCGGCAGGTGAAATTTGCTCGCAAATGTTTGGTCGTTCATGCGTAAGTACATTGTAGTTATATTTTTTTATCATTTCACTATTACTATTTAGACTTCTGATAATGGTATGATTAAAATGATGGCAAGAAAAAAAATGTTTTGAAAGGTATGGTGTAGTTAAAATTTAGATTTATGTTTAATGTAACATTCTTAAAAAACAGACCGACTCCACGTTTATTTGTGGTTTTCTTTGCCTAAAAATGAATACGGTTATCCTAAAAAAAAAGAGCATTTCTGCACATTATATTCCGTCTTTACGATATACCGAGATGTCGTTACTAGACCAGAGTTATCGGTCCCGGCAACAGGTATCGAGCATTTCCGGTTAACACCTCTGGGACAATTTGGGGAAAATTTTCGAGGTCACTTTTAATTTCTGTCTAATTTTCGCCAGTTTTCACCAAATATATATATAAAAAAAGAAAAAAATATGGGTTCGATGAAGAAAGCTCGTACTTCTGACTGTTGTGTGATATTAGTGCTGCAAACTGGCTTATATATTCAACATAAAATGATTTTTTGTTCTGTGACGTATAATAAATTGGTTCTGGAATGGACAACATGTATATACAAAAATCCAAGATGGCTGCCAATATGCGGGTAAAACCGAAGCACCTCAGCTGTATGTTACAAGCCTGGACCAAATACGTTTTGTAAAAATAAACACTTGACAATTTGGATATAGGTTTATTTATACTGTACAATGCTAATTGAAAACCATACATATACAAATGAAATGTGATATTCACATACATCATATAAGGGTTTTAGTGTCAATTATCTTCAAGATTCAAGATTCGTATGCCTCATCTTCATCGTCTTCGATGACAATATTGGCCGACTGGTTGTAACAGCTCTCTCCCCGACAACCACCACATGCCACAACACATTTTAACCCATTTTTATGGCACAACACAAGTTCGTAGCACACTGATTTTTGTTGGTTCTTTTACACTTGCAGCAAATGAATTTCAAAACCAGGTAGTTGTTGTTGAGTTCTTTCCACTGCATTACCTTAAGATGAAAACGGAGGTTTTGGAAATGGGCTATGATTGCCTGATACCTGATGTGTCTCAACGTGGTCTGTGAAGTCAAAGACTCATCATCCTTTGCTCCGTAGAATTGACAGGATATGAAGATACAAGGAGTACCGATTTGTTGTGGTGTTTTCTCACCATTAGTGAAATCTTGAGAAAGGAGTTGGATACTGTCGGACTTTGAAAATACTTTCAATAGGTGTGTTTTTCCTTGTCCAAAAGTAGATGATGCAGTATCACATCCGCTCATTTATTTTGTCGCACAACTGTGTTTATGACTTCATGGGCTTCACGAATGCTATACACCTCGGCACCTTTCTTCTGTGATCTTGTCTTGCTTTCTTTTCTGATGAATATATCAGCAATGTTGGTTTTCCAATGGTGTTTCACCAATATGAAAATGCGCTTCTGTGACAACCACCGCTGATTGGTTATTCTATGAAAAGTCCAGAGCGGCTGATACGAATAAGGTTTCTGCATCGCCGTCATTGCATTTGGTGGTATGCCCTTTTGACTGCAAGATATCTACACGAAGTTCTATGAATTGTGTCTTATTCTTGGTGTTCGTGGTGATCCCTATGACATTTGGACGGACCAGTGACTGATATCAGCGGATCTTTTTGCTGAACGACTCGGGTGTTCATGCTCCTTTGTGGATAGCCCTTCATACAAGACGCTTCAAGGTTGGTCATATTTTTCGTGATCATCCCCTGGCCAATTCTAATTTGTCTGTCTTTCTCATATAAGAATCCTTGAAGAGTGATGTAGATATCGCCGACGTTTCATACCTAAAGTGTGATTTGATTTCCTCAAACTCACGGTGTGCTAGTGCTGTGTTGCGCATGAATAATACAGATGGCTCAATGTGGACGTTCTTCTTGCCTATTGTAATGCTTGCAGCAGGTCATTTAATGTTTGAGCGTGGTCAGATCTTTTTATATGTGCGTTAGTTACAGCTATGCTATCTAGTGACTGGTGAATTTTTTGGCCTACCAGTTATGCCTCATCATAGTTGATCCCATCCTCGTCGATTGTCATTAAACCTATTATCAGTGACCGTAATGAAGATAGTTCTGTGGTGAACGGGTCATGCTGCTCGAACCAGTCAAGTATTTTCTCCAAGTCCATCAAGTCTCACTTACACCTGGATTTACCACGTTCGACATGTTGTGTACTTGTCAAATGATGTCGATTTGTCAGACTGGTCATTGCATCATGAACAGCGGCGCAATGATGCATGCAATACACCCACTGATGCCTCACGCTTTCCGTCATACCTCTGGTCAGACCACCTCTAGCTTTCATTGATCGCTTTAATGTTTGCTCGATACATAAATCTGTCCATAAGCCAGCCCAATACCTGTCGCTCCCGCGTATTGCATAGTGACCTTCCGTGTTTTTAATACACGATATACAGCTTCAGTTAAATTAAATGATGTATTGCCATGCGTATTAAAAAGTGCATACAGGGCTTAGTAGCTACTCTGCAGAAAGTATTATTTAACCATCCTGTTCATGGGGATTGCATGTTTGCTGCTAATAACTGTATCCTCTGTATGTACCCAACATTTTTTTCACACTATCAGATAACACTTTATGTATGCAATATTAGTGTTATTTTATTATTATAATATATCATATTATGATAATATACCTGTACCAGGCCGAAGTGGGCTCGTACCATGTTTTTTGTTTTGTTTTATCCGAATATTGTCAGCCATCTTGGATTTTGGAATATGATGCCAATACCAGAATCAATTAATTTTGTCAAAGTAGGATATAGAGTTATGTGTAATAAATTAACATATTAGCATCACTCTAATATCAAAGAAAATATCAAAAATTCAGAATTTTCTTTCATCTAACCCGATATAATCTCGTTCTTCATTTTTGGCGAAAAAAGGTGAAAAATTGGCCAAATTTAAAAATGGTCTCAATTTCTTTCCCCAAAGGGAATTTTTCAGGACTTTTCCCCTATCATACTAAAGACATTGATGATGAGTTGAATAAGAAGAGTTTGATAACATTTTATTTTTTTTCCTAGATCACCCTGAAACGGACCTATTCCACCGACCTAAAATGCAAATGAAGTAAGAAATCATATATGATTAAGAAATGAACATGCTTCATAGGATGCAATACATGTACAATTTGCAAATGTAATTATCAATTTAAATGAATAGAAGAACTGCTTCAGTATTCACTGTGGTTGTAAATTATTGTTTAAGTGCTAATTCTGAGTAGATGATTACACCTAGAGTTAATTTTCACGTCCGAGAAAAAACCCACTGCAAGACTAAAATTATATTAATACAAACTCAGAATATAAAGGCACAGGCCCCTGTGGAACCCCTGGGGTAGAACAATGAAATATAATAAACTCCTATATAATATAGTTTTTTTTCTCAGTTACATATATTATCACGATAGAGAAAAAATCCTTTATATTTTAGAAGTTCAGTATGTTATATTTGATAGCTACATTCATGCATGTTGTTCCTGTGATAATACGGTACAATTGTACCCATATTTTCATGTCGCTCAAAACGCATGTGTGCCAATTAATACTGATAATGATAAGATCTTATTTATTCTTTTACATAATAAATGTTATGAAAATGTTGAGATGATTGGTAAAGAGTATACTGAACTTCAGTATTAGCTGCATGAAGTACTATGTACACAGGTGCTGGACACAACAATACATATATGATATTACTATAATATTGACTTTATTAGTACAGAAGTGTTTTTGAGACCAGCACCTGTAGCTGTTATATAATATTTCAACTAACTTCTAGTAATACCTATACTTTAATTATAGCCAACAGATAATGGGTTGTATATCATGAATTTCTTTTTTCAGATATGCTGCTGCTGCTGACTATGAGGAGTAGTTGTGGAATCAAGCACACAGACTGAGGCTGCATCCACCAGTGACAAATCAACAATGTGTGATGTGGATCTTGCTGATGCTGAAGTCCAGACTGTGCGCTCAGAAATAACTATTGAGGACATCAAATACTCGAATGAACTGATGATGTTTTACACAGGTCTACCAAATCATGCAATATTCTATGCAGTATATGAAAGTTTGGTACATAGTGATGCAGATAGACTAAATGTTGATGAGTGTGTTGGCCAAATCAAATCACGAAGGACGCTGAGGTTGATAGACGACTTGTAATGATGAGATTTGTTAAAACATAGGTTAAATCTGTCAGCTGCAAGAGTCTCCAAAATATTTTCTGTTTGGATTCTTTTAATGCATGAATGTTTAAAAACTCTGATTTTTCTACCAAATCTAAGTGTATTACAACAGAACATTCCAGAATTTTTGACCGATTTCGGGACACTAGAATCATTCTGGACTGCACAGTGATGTTTGTACAGACTCCATCTGACTTGGACAACAAATCGAAAACTTACTCCAACTACAAGTCTCACAATACATTTAAGGCGTTGGTAGGAGTACGACTGTGGCAGTTGTATTTGTGTCAAAGCTATGGGGTGGATCTGCTTCAGATGTTCTGATGACTAGAAACAGTGGACTATTTGCTCTTCTGAAGCCTGGCGACGCTGTTATGGTAGATAAGGGATTAGGTACAGTTTGGAAATTCTGAAGTAAAGTTCACAAGGCGCGTTGCATCAGCTCATATTCATGTTGAGAGAAAAAATGGAGCAAATACAAAACTTCCACATAGTACAAAGTGTGATGCCCTTGAATCTGTGTAACCTTGCTGATGCTGGTTTTTTTTTGTATGTTGTACTCTTACAAATCTGTTATCACCTCTTGTTAACAAATAGCAGATATATGTGTTTCTTTCATAGTAAAACTGCCTTTATTGGTTAGTTTTCAAATATAAGTCTGACAAGTCAGATTTAGTCCAATTAATTGGTCAAATATGTTCACAGACAATTTTTTGAAAACTTATTGCAATTGTACATGAAGACACAAATAACTAGATGGAACAATAATGGGTTATTTATTGATAGTGTCACTTTTTTTAACAACAAAAAACAATGCTTATGTCTTTTATAGCATGGATATACTGTAAATAACTTTATTTGATGTGAAGGTTCGCAGAAATTAGACTTCAAATATAATTTTCTGTGTAAAATTCAAAAGGCCCCGAGGGTTTTGGGTTTGTAATTTCTGAAAGTTACAGACTGTATTGATTATATTCATTAATATCAAGCAATAAACTTAACCAGTATTAATAACAGATTTACTTGTCTTTGACTTTGTGTTGAGCTTTCCCCTTGTAAATGAGAGGAACAAGCATTTCTGTGTAGAAATTTATCAATTTCATTTGAGCAGGTTCCAAAACAGTGAGTCAAACTCCACTCCCATTATTTTGATATCTTTTGTGGTGTATACAACAAAGTCACATATTTGAATGTTACACACAACCAATTGACCCATTTGTGTATAATAGAGATGGGATTTCTTCAACTGTAAGTTATTGTCCTTGTCAATGTAACAAGAATCCTCAACTGTTGTGTTACGACAGCTATATGGGCACTTTATTTCTATTAGACGCTGAACGCCCTGTAACGATGATACATGACTCTTGTTGAACGAGACTACAGGAGATAATGACGTTGGATTACTACGAGAGCTGCCTATTCCAGCAAGCGTCTCGTCAGCCGCACACGCACGTTGGTTGTACTCGAGTGCTCTCTCTATAAGTACTCCTTTATTTCCACCGATATTTTTGTCCATATCCACGTAAAAAAGCAGTAATTGTTTCTTGTTCATGTTGTGAAAATCGTTTCTAGTCATATTTTTGTCAATTTTGAAAATGGCAACTCCCTCAAACTTACTTACCAGAAGTTCCCGATACCTATTATCCGTCTAGGAACGACCACTGTTTATCGCAAAGACGGAACAAAGTCTTCTAACTCGGTTTTACTCATACATGTACATCTTAAGCATGTCACCAACTAACTGTGTAAAATAATTAAAGAAAACATATTTTAGATGTTACATCCTACATGTATTTACATATTACAAATATTTGATATCAAAAAAGTTAAGCAAGTCTTTAAATTCCTTCGGGTAATAGTTGAATAAAATGCTCCTTTTATCAGGATAGCTGGTGTGTGGAGTAGAGAAACATATATAATATTGCAGCATTGATTTGGTCGCTTTTGTGTTTCCAAGTACAGAGCACAAACGCATCACTCAAAAGGCGAATGATGTGGGGCACCTGCAAAATCAGGGGTACTCTTCTGTGTCTCTTTCAAAGGGGACATGAAGATATCAAAATTTATCTGCTACCCCCATTGCAACACTTGGAATGTTTTTCTTTTCATTTATTTCCCGTCTTCTGTCTTTTTTTCCCACTTTCTATTGGCTGTTGAGAGGACGCTAAACCCAAAAGCTCCGACCTGCATGGGTGAACTGCTCGTGGAATTTCATCCTTTCACAACACATGTTTGAAAATACTTCATAAACATTTCTTCAAATTCCCCAATGTGTACATTTCAGTTCTGTAGCCTAAAACCGCCACAATAGTCTAGTCTTCGTTGTATGACATTTAGAATTGTAGTATGGAATGGTTTCGTCTGTCGAAAAATTAAAATAAATATTTCAAAACGTGGATCAATAATAATTACGCAATCTAGCTGGGAATGTCTTATGACTTCAGACGAGGATCTAGTTGATGAAAGTTTTAACGCTTTTTCAGACGACAGAACCGCGTCCTCATATTTATTTTAGAGGGATGTTTTGATACCTTCAAGACCTTCGTTTGTTTGTTGGGGGTTTAACGTCCTCGCAATGGCAAAGGTTATGTGAAGACGGGTGCCGAGAGTGACACCGCCTAAAAGACTGAGTATGAAAGTGAGAAAAGAAAAGGATACCGATCCCAGGTGCTGCAGTTTGGGGGCAGCAGATCAGTTTTGTTATCTTCGATCCCCTAAGCAGAAGTCAAAGAAGCAACTGCAAGATCGTAGCCGTTATAAAACGTAAAACAAAATCAAACCAAACCAAATCAATGGATACAGCCTTGTGTTTGGTTTAGGTTTGGATTCCATTTTTAATATCTCTAGAAGTTTTCGATTATACAAGAAGCCCATTGGCCTTAACGGTCACCTGATTTATGTAAAAACTGATGTTATCGATGTTGCCAAATGGAAATGAAATCATTTTGTAACAAAGGTAACTTGAACTACATGTAATGCAAAAGTAGTTTGAAAAATCTGGGTAGTAAATGTACTATATACAAATAGTGGTTCTGTCAGTCAGCTGACAGGACACGTCCCTTTAGCTTAGTGGTAGAGCGTTGGCCTCCAGAACCTGGGGTCGTGGTTTCGATCCCAGCTGGGGCACCTCATCTTTTCACTTGTTTCTTTCCTATTACAGTGGAACGAACTGTTGGATTTTATTTGGTTTATTGAGTAAGGTTACTGGCTAAAAGGAAAACAGCTGTCCTATCAAATATCTAATATGTTGGTTCAACAATGAAGAGTTTTTGTGTATTGTAATTTGCCTTTTGGAAGATTTGCATCTTTTTATACTGAACATAAATTACACACAACAAAATTGTGAGTTGACTACATCATCTAAATTTAACACCAGTTGATATGAGAAAGATATTTGCTTTGAGCTTATTATGATAAAAAGGTCGCAAAATTTGTTAATAATGTTAAAATTAACATGATAAACGACAAACATACAAAGTGTTGTTTAAGAGAACAATCAGGCCTTTGGCAAAGCTATTTGTAATATAACACTATGGATGTGTACGCAATTATTTTTAATCTTTTCCAGTTTATTCTTCTTGAAATAATAATTTTGCTTCTGTGCATGTGTCAGACATTTCTGGTTCAGGGATAGTACTTAAGTCCATGAAACCATATCTGAGTCTGGAGAAGAGTTTCAAGATGGCCAAAGCCCAAACTGTCATTTCGAAGTTATAATGTCATTTCAATGATTCCCAATGGAAATGAACCAAATATACCTAAAAGTATCATTTTTCTATATAACTTTAGTAAACTTTACCCCATCCGCAAGTGTCTACGTCGGTATTTATCAATTTGCCTCAATTGTAATTTGGAAAATGATATAGCATGTATATAAGAACAAAGGAGAAGACGACTACTTATGGATTTTTTCTTTTGATTATACATTTTAGTAGACTGCCAAGATCTGAAATCTAGCTGAGGAGATATGGTTAAGTCGTATACAGTGATATAATCAAAAATCCTTCAAGTCCAGGCGGTGTAGCTTCTGGGATTTCCAGTATTTTTGTTCTTCCGAAATCAACTGAGAAAGGCGGATTGAAATATGATTAAGGTTGTTATGTTATTAATATGTAGTAGAGTAAGTCGTAAACTATGGTCCATGCTTGACATTTTCACATACATGAAACTAGCTAAACGTACTCATAATACTCAAGGAGTTTTTCTCTAAATCATTGAAACTTTCAGTCTTATTTTCGGCGTATGGATACGTATGTGTATTTTTCTAACCTTTTGTTTTTGTCTGAACGCAGCTGAAGACTTTCCCTTTCACAATAAGAATAATGGTTTCATTAAATGATCGAAATGTATAAATTGTGAACGGGTTTTACATTGCTTCATTGTAATGCAACTTAATACCAAGTTATGATATTACTTTTATGAAGCGAAGACAGTTTAATAATTATATGAATGTACCAATATAACGGAAATGATGGAAGACTACTGCAGTAATTTATTTCCTGGCGACTCCCAACTGTTCATCATCAAAACATAAACAAAAGACGGTGTAATTTTGTATTTATTAATATTACATTATTAATCCTGCAACGCTGTGATTTCTGTTTGCCGATGACATTGTCATTTCACATAAAGTTAGTCTACCTCTTTGTTTAGTCTTTCTATCAATGAGATATCGGACAATGCGGTTTTACCGAAAGTTTTACCGTACAA